CCTGGCTAATTTTTGTATTTTTAGTAGGGACAAGGTTTCACTATGTTGGCCAGGCTGGTCTTGAACTCCCGACCTCGTGATCTGCCCGCCTCAGCCTCCCAGAATGGTGGGATTACAGGCATGGGCCAATGCACTCAGCCCCTTTTTTTTTTTTTTGACATAGGGTCTCACTCCATCACCCAGGCTGGAAGTGCAGTGGTGCGATTTCAGCTCATTGCAACCTCTGCCTGCTGGGCCCAAGTAATCCTCCTACCTTAGGCATGCGCCACCACACCTGGCTAATTTTTTAAATTTTTGCTAGAGATGGGGTTTTGCCATTTGGCCAAGCTGGTCTCAAACTTTTGAGCTCAGGTGATCCACCCTCCTCAGCCTCCCAAAATGCTGGGATTACAGGCGTGAGCCACTGTGCCCTGCTATGCCTGGATAATTTTAAAGATTTTTTTGCAGAAATGGGATTTCACTCTGTTGCCCAGGCTGGTCTCAAACTCCTGAGCTCAGGCAATCCTCTTGCCTTAGCCTCCCAAAGTGCTGGGATTATAGATGTGAACCACTGTGCCCTGCCCTGGTATCTCCTCTCAATAAACTACTTGGCTAGAATTATTGTCTTAAAGTCTGCTTCTGGGAAAACCCAAACTAAGACAATGCGTGCAAACACAGATGATGCATGAACAGAGACTTTCTTTCCATGCTGTCTTTATTGGAGGTCTGAGGCAGGCAGGGTCAATAGGGATGGCTCCCTCCTGGATCTCTGAGAGACACTCCTGGCAGGCCTTGTCTTCACATTCTGGAAAAGACAAAAGAGCGTGAGGCTTGTGGGTGGTTGTGTGTGGCTGGGTCTGCCCTCCTGGTGGTGGAACCCTGGATCAGCGAGGGGACAGTGTCCCAAATGAGAGTTGGGGACGAAGCCAATTATAGGCCAAGATAGGTATGCTTGTATAGCTTAATGAAATGAAGTGGCACTATGTAGGTAGCACGAGACTGCCCAGGTATGATTCTAAAATTGTTTTAGTGATGGCGATCAAGGGCTGGGATGAGGTCATCAGGCCAAAGTTGCGCTGGCATAAGAGTAGTCATCTGGAGGTTAAGGAGTCAGGGACAAAACAAGCATCCTCAGAGTTGAGATTGGGCAGAGAATTGCAACACAGGATTAAGGGCTGGACAGAGGCTATGCAGGCAAAGGGTCACAGCCTAGGTTCGTGTTGTGCGGACAGAGGGCCTTTGGGTAGGCTCAGGGCTCCTGAGGGTGGTGCAGGCTGATGGGTTGTGGCTTGGGTAGAGGTTATGAAGGCCAGGCTGAGGTTGTGAGGGCAGAGTCAGGGTCCATGCCCTGGCTGGAAAAGTAGAGGTATTAGGAGCTGGGAAAGCACAAGCTGGCTGGGTCCCGCGCTAAGCTGAGGCTGCACAGGCAGAAGTCACAGGATCAGGGATGCTGCCCGCAGAGTGACCCGCGAAGGCTGGGCCTGGGTTGCCTGAATAGACTGCAGGGAAATAGGGGGCCTGGCTGGCACAGCAGTTACAGGCAGGCAGCTCTCCTGGAGCTGGTGCAGACGGAGGGGCGGCGGGCCCCGGGGGTGCAGGCGGGGCAGACTCACCGCGGTGAAGTGCGGCCAGGTGCGCAGCTGGTCGAAGAGCGCGTCGCCGGGGCAGTCGGTGCGCACCAGCTGGCGGTGGCCCAGCAGCGCGTAGTCGGGCCGCAGGAGGCCGGCGCGCACCGCACAACTCGGGAGCGTGTCGCGCACCGTGCGCAGAGCGGCCTCGGTGGGTAGAGCCGCGGTGTAATTGCCCACGATGGCCACGCCGAAGCCGCGGGAGTTGTGACCGAGCGTGTGCGCGCCTACCCAGTACCAGCCGCGTCCCTCGTACACGTAGCCGTCCGAGCCCACCACGAAACTGCGGAGGGAAGGGGGAAGCAAGCACCACACGGCGTGAGGGGGGCCCCGGCCCTTTTCCGCTCCCCTCCTCTAGTCCGCCGCTGTGCCAAGGGCCACTGACCCCAAGCCCCACGCGGTGGCGCAGTCTCTGTCCCATCTAGCCCTGTCCCACTCTCACACCAACTGCCACTCCAGAACCGTTCGGTTTCTCTGGATCCGCCCTTCAGTGCTGGCACGCCCCCTTCTGCTCTCCTCCTCCCACGCTCTGCCTTTTTTTTTTTTTTTTTTTTTTTTTTTTTTTTTTTTTTTTTTTTTTTTTTTTTTTTTTGAGAAGGAGTCTGGCTCTGTCACCCAGGCTGAAGTGCAGTGGCACGATTTCGGCTCACTGCAACCTCCGCCTCCTGGGTTCAAGCGATTCTCCTGCCTCAGCTTCCTTAGTAGCTGGGATTAGAGGCGCCCGCCACTACGCACAGCTGATTTTTGTATTTTTAGTAGAGACAGGGTTTCACCATGCTGGCCAGCTGGTCTCGAACTCCCAACCTCAGACGATCCTCGGCCTCCCAAAATGCTGGAATTACAGGCGTGAGCCACCGCGTCCGGCCCCCTGCCTTTTCTCAAGTCCAGTTCTTCCGCAATTCAGAGCGCTTTTCTGTTTTTTTGGGGGGCTTTTTTTCCTTTCTTCTTCATCTCTCTCTCGCTCGCTCGCTCGCTTTTTCTTTCTTTCTTTCTCTTTTGGGATGGAGTTTCGTTTTTGTCGCCCAGGCTGGAGTGTAAGGGCGCTATCTCGACTCACTGCAACCTCCGCCTCCCGAGTTCAAGCGATTCTACTGCCTCATCCTCTCCAGTAGCTGAGATTATAAGTACCCGCCACCATGGCCAGTTATTTTATTTTATTTTTAGTAGAGATGTGGTTTCGCCATGTTGGTCAGGCTGGTCTGGAACTCCTGACCTCAGGTGATCCGACTGCCTCGGCCTCCCAAAGTGCTGGGATTACAGCCGTGAGCCACCGCACCCAGCCTTGTGTTTTTTGTTTGTTTGTTTGTTTTGGTTAGATTTTTCTTTTCTTTCTTCTTTTCGAGACGGGTTCTTGCTCTGTCGCCCAGGCTGGAGTGCAGAGATGCGATCATAACTCACTAAAGCCTAGAAAACCTGGGCTCCAGCGATCTTCCCACCTTAGACTAACGAGTAGCCGGGACTACAGGCCTGCAACACCACGCCCGGCTTTTTTTTTTTTTTTTTTTAATTTTCATTTGTAGAGATGGTGGTGGGGGGGGTCTTCCTATGTTGCTCAGGCTGGTCTCGAACTCCTGGGCTCAAGCGATCCTCCCGTCTCAGCCTCCCAATGTGGTGAGATTACAGGCGGGAGCCACCTCACCCGGCCGCCTTGTCTGTTTTAGGCCATCTCTGCCTGGCCTCAGACCCAGACTCTACCACTGGTCCCGCTCCTCTCCCAGATCCCGCCTCCTGCCCCAGTTCTCTACCCTTACCGGAGTCCCACCTTTTAGCTAGTCCTAGTTCCTGTTAAGGCCACGCCCCTAGCCTAGGCCACACCACCTCTCCAACTTGGCTCCACCTATCAGGACTCCTCCTCGGTCTTGCCAGCTTTCCTCGGATTCAAGCCCAGCCCCCTGCATCAGGCTGCGCCCACTCAGACCCCACCCCCTGACGTGAGCCCCGTCTCCGCCCCGGCCGGGCCCCTCCCACCTGTAGCCGATGTCCTCCCAGTCTTGCGTGTCCTGGTGGTAGCGCTGCATGGAGCGCATGTTGGCTGCGCAGCGCGCGAAGTCCGTGCACGGTGGGGCAGGCACGTAGGTGTGATGCACGTACAAGAATCCCAGTGGCAGATGCAGCAGCGTCGGGCGGCCCCTATAAGGCGCCGCTCCCCAGCGGCAGCGGGGGTGGATGGCCGGGCATCCTACAGGCAAGGGGGTTCAAGGCTGGGGTCAGGAAGTGTTTCTCTGCCTGCCCCCTTCACCCCCATTAAAGCACACATACAGACCATCCCCCAGCCTCCTCTCAGATTTAGAAAGAGTCCAGTCTCACCCCACATTAGTCCTCCGTGGAGACCAACTAAATGTACCCAACTAAATCTATTTTATTTTTATTTAAAAAAAAATTGGGGGTGGGTGGGGCGAAGTGTCTCACACCTGTAATCCTTGCACTTTGGGAGGACAAGTCGGGCGGATCACCTGAGGTCAGGAGCTCCAGACCAGCCTGGCCAAAGTGGTGAAACCTTGTCTCTACTAAAAACACAAAAATCAGCTGGGCATGATGGCACGTGCCTGTAATCCCAGCTACCTGGGAGGCTGAGGCAGGAGAATTGCTTGAACCCAGGAGGTGGAAGCAGCAGTGAGCTGAGATCACACCACTGAACTCCAACATGGGCAAGACACAGCAAGACTCTGTCTCAAAAAAATTAAAAAAAGAATGCCTTTTGGCTGGGTGCTGTGGCTCATGCCTGTAATCCCAGCACTTTGGGAGGGCGAGGTGGGTGGATCACCTGAGGTCAGGAGTTCAAGACCTGCCTGGCCAACATGGTGAAGCCCCATATCTACTAAAAATACAAAAATTAGTCGGGTGTGGTGGTGCATGCCTATAATCCCAGCTACTCAGGAGGCTGAGGCAGGAGAATCGCTTGAACTTGGGAGGCGGAGGCTGCAGTGTGCCGAGATCGAGCCATTGTACTCCAGCCTGGATGACAAGAGCAAAAGTCTGTCTCAAAAAAAACAAAACCAAAAATAAAATAATCTTTTGCAGCAACATGGATGGAACTGGACGCCATTATCTCAAGTGAAACAAGTCAAACACAGAAAGACAAATACCATAAGTTCTCACTTTTAAATGGGAGCTAAACAATGTGTAGATATGCATGTGTGGAAAGATAGACAGTGGAGATTCAGAAGGGTGGAGGGAGTGAGGAGGGAGGATGATGACAGATTGCTTAATGGGTCACTGTATGTTATTGGAGTGATGGATACCCTAAAACCCCAGACTCCACCACGATGCAATCTGTGTGAGTAACAAAGTTACACTTGTACCCCATAAATTAATGCAAATAAATACAATGAAACAAAACAAAATTAGATGAACTCCTATTCATCCCTCAAGGCCCATCTCTAGCATTTCCTCGTCTGTGCAGCTGTCCCACCCACCTCCAACCAGATTCTTTATTGTCCTCTCTGGACTCGTCTAGTCCTCAACTTCCCTGAACACATGAGGTTGGGGGGCATCTGAATCTGTCATGGTAAGTGTCACAGGGTGTGGGGAACCTCCTCACCCAGGAAGGCCTCTGTGAACTCCTTGGTAGCATTGGTGGCCACCTGGGCCAGGCGTTCCTGGCTCATGTGCTGAAGCTGGGGGTGTACCGGCTCCAGCCTCTGTAGCAGGACAAGGGTTCCCCACACCTGCTGGGCCAGGAGGGGGGCTGAAGTCAGAGCAGCCCCATTCTGCCGTCGGAAGTTGCTGCGGAACCCTGGGTCTCCAGCCACCCCAGCCCCATAGTACTGGCTCAGCAAGTGGCTGAGGGATGGCTGGGGCTCAGGAGTCCGGCTCAGATAGTCTCCAAGGATGAACCCATCCAGGGCACCATTGAGGAAGGCCATGGTTAACAGAGATGCCCTGGGGTCCAGGAGCCTAAAGGTCTGAGGGGCAGAGAGCTGGTCCCAGCAGCCCTCACTTCCCAGGCCTGGATGACTCTGGGTCTGGGAACCTGGGAGGAAGGTCAGGCCCAGGTTTCCAGCCAGGGTGACTGCCAGGAGGCTGTCCACCGTGGTCGGGGGGGACTTGGCTTTGGCATCTGGCAAGGAAGCTTGGACATCTGGAGAGCCTGTTGTAGCATCGGGAGAGTTGGTTCCAATATTTGCAGTGGTGACATCTGGAGCAGCATCCCTGAGTCCTGGGGAGGAGGGGGCTCTTCCATCTGGAGCAATGGCTGCAACATCTGGAAAGGTGACTCCAGCCACCCGAGAGGCAGCTGTGCTGTCCAAGGGCAAGTTTATGACCCTGCGCCCTTGCAGCCCTGCCTGCAGCCCCGCCAGCAGAGGCTCCACAGCCACGGTCGAGCCATCGGGTGCCAGCACCACCCCGTATTCCTGCCCGTCTCGTACACCATGTCGAGCCACCTCCTTGGTCAGGCCTTGCAGTTCTGGGCTCAGTGAGTAGGGATCCAGCTCTGCAGCATCCAGGCTCCGTGCCCCCAGCAGGAAGTGGTAGAGGTGATTGTAGGGGCCAGAGCTTGGGCCTGACAGCAGCCATGCAGAAGCTTTGTGGCTGGCCTTGACAGCCGGCGCCTTCTGCTCCAGCTCAGCCAGGGCCTGGATGACAGACTTCATGAGCAGTGGCAGGGAGGCTGCAGGAGGAAAGAATGTGTTAGCCCAGCTCCACCCATTCCTGAGCCTCCTTATATTGATTCCACACCTTCCCAATGCTCCCAGCTCTCCATCTGATAACCCCATGACCCCCAACACTATCCTTGTACAGATGAGGAAACTGAGGCACACAGACTGTGGCCTGTTGGTTAAGAAACTCAGACTGTCTGTGAGTACTGGGGAGCCACGGCAGGATTATGAGCAGGAGAGAGATGTGACCAGCTTGGCATCCTAAGACTAGTTTCTTAAACTTAGATTTGTTTATTTGGCTGCCATAGGGAAATGGATTTTTAGGGTGCTAGAACAGAGAAGGGAGACACTGTCGAGGTGAGAGATGAAGGTGGCAGAAGGCAGGTAGTGACATTGTAGTGGGCAAAAGCAGAGGAGTCCTGAGATCTTGAGAGGAAGAGATGGACAGCCTTTAGTGATGGATCGAAGTTACAAGTTGGGGATGTAGACGAAGAGGTATTTGGAAAGATGCCTGGGGCTGGGTGCGGTGGCTCACAACTATAATCCCAGCACTTTGAGAGGCCAAGGCAGGTGGATCACCTGAGGTCAGGAGTTCGAGACCAGCCTGGCCAACACCGTGAAACCTGGTCTCTACTAAAAATACAAAAATTAACTGGGCATGTTGGCACACACCTGTAATCCCAGCTACTCAGGAGGCTGAGGTGGGAGAATCACTACAAAAAAAAAAAAAAAAAAGGCAAATCCTGCCTCTGCCACTTCCTTGCTGTGTGACCTTGGGCAGGTAATTTAACCTCTCTGTGCTTCAGATGCCTCATCTGTAAAGGGACATTATCTTAGTCCCTTTGTGCTTCATGTGGAGATGGAGGTTGCAGTAGGCTGAGATCATGCCATTGCACTCCAGCCTGGGCAACAGAGTGATACTCTGTTTCCAAAAAAAAAAAAAAAAGCCTAGGTGCCGTGGCTCACACCTGTAATCCCAGCACTTTGGGAGGCTGAGGTGGGTAGATCACTTCAGGTTGGGAGTTCAAGACCAGCCGGTAAAACATGGTGAAACCCTGTCTCTACTAAAAATACAAAAATTAGCTGGGCATTCCGGCACACAACGGTAATCCCAGTTATTCAGGAGGCTGAGGCAGGAGAATTGCTTGAACCCAGGAAGCGGAGGTTGCAGTGAGCCGAGATCCCCCACTGCACTCCAGCCTGGGTGACAGAGTGAGACCACATCTCAAAAAAAAAAGAAAAAGAAAAAAAGAAAGAAAGATGCCTGGGAGGCAGTGGGTGGAACAGGACAGGGTTGTGTCCTGTTGGGGAAATGTCAGTTGCTAAACTGCAAACCTAGAAATGCTAAGTAAGGCTCAGAGCTGGTTCAGGGATGGGTTATCCAATAATAGCTAACATTCAGTAAACATTTACTATGTACTAGCTACTAGTCTAGCTGACTTATATATTATAATTTAACTCATTTAATCTTCACAGCCCTTGTGAGGTAGGTCCTATCAGCCTCTGTCTTAGTACATTGGTGCTGCTATTACAGAATATCTGAGGTTGGGTAATTTATAAAGAACCGAAATTTGGCCTGGCGTGGTGGGTCAGGCCTGTAATCCTAGAACTTTGGGAGGCTGAGGTGCAAGGATCACTTGAGGTCAGGAGTTTGAGATCAGCCTGGTCAACAGAGTGAAACCTTGTTTCTACTAAAAATACAAAAGTTAGCCGGGTGTGGTGGTGGACGCCTGTAATCCCAGCTACTTGGGAGGCTAAGGCAGGAGGATCTCTTGAACCCGGGTGGTGGAGGTTGCAGTGAGCTGAGATCGTGCCGCTGCACTCCAGCCTGGGTGGCAGAGTGAGATTCCGTTTCAAAAAAAAAATAACAGAGGCATCCAAGATCAAGGTGCTGGCATCTGGACTTCCCAGCTTGCAGAATTGCAAGAAAGTAAATTTCTCTTCTTTACAAATTTTCTTGATTTCAGGTATTCTGATATAGAAGCACAAAGGGACTAAGATAGTGTCCCTTTACAGATGAGGCATTTGAAGCACAGAGAGGTTAAGTTACCCGCCTAAGGTCACACAGCAAGGAAGTGACAGAGACAAGATTTGCCTTTTTTTTTTTTTTTGAGATGGAGCCTCACTCTGTCATCCAGGCTGGAGTGCAGCAGTGCTCAGATCACTGCAACCTCCACCTCCTGAGTTCAAGCGATTTTCCAGGCTCAGCCTCCCAGAGTAGCAGGAATTACAGGCGCCTGCCACCATACCTGGCTAGTTTTTGTATTTTTAGTAGAGATGGGGTTTCACCATGTTGGCCAGGCTGGTCTTGCACTCCTGACCTCAAGTGATCTGCCCGCTTCGGTCTCCCAAAGTGTTGGGATTACAGGCGTGAGCCCCTGCGCCCAGCCAGAGGCAGGATTTGAATCTAGGAAGTCTTACTTGCCGCACTCTCCTCTCTAGAATCTAGGTTCTTCACCAGTCCACCACCTCATTCCTCTGTAGCGTTGTTCTTCTGTGCTTAAAAAGCCCTTTCTTGCTTCTCCACCAAATCAATTCTTTCTTCCTATCCTAGCTCCTATGTCTCCTCCTCCAGGAAGCCTTCCCTACTTTTGCTCCCCAAGCCCCAGATTCCTCCCACTATCCTTGCCCTGACTCTGTGGGGCTGTGACTATGTATGTCTCCATGCTGGAGGTTCTTTGAGAGCTTGAGTCTCCAGCCTCACTTCATGCAGGACCAGACACAGACGAGACACCAGTCTACCTTCCGCAGAGCCAAGAGGTTTGGTTTCAGAACTCTGCCCCCTGACTCACCTGCCCCTGGGTCTGACCACAGTAGCAATCCGAGTAGGATCCAGATGACACGCTGGGCCACCATTGCAGGATTCCAGTTTCCAAGGGATATTCCCGGTTGGCCTCAGCAGAGAACCTCAGCGGTGCTGGACGGAGACAGGCACAGAGAATTGAGCAGAGCCTTTGGCCACTGTCAAAGTTCAGCGGCTAATGACAGACCTGCCTCTTGTAGAGCTGTGGGCGGGAGGCAGCAGGGATATGGGGCAGTGAACCCCGGGTCAAGGTCATCGGGGCCTTGCAGCCTCCCCCGGTCTCTCCTGTCCCTCCTTGGCTGAGGTCAGTGTTCAGTAAGCCAGGCCCATCCCCAGAGGGGCCTGGCGACCAGGTGGTTCAGACTCCATAAACTCTGCCCATTCTCCAGAGAGATAGACCGAGGCCAACCCAGCAAACCGTGTCACCTCTCCAGAGTGACAGCTCTGTAGCCCCTGCTGGCCACCAGAGGGGACTCTCAGCTGCCGCCTGCTGTACTGGTAAGACTGGCTGTGTTGGGGGAGGAGAGAGGAGCAGAGGCCTGAAGTTGGCACTGCCTCCTGCTTTTTTTTTTGCAACCAACATTTCAGGCTCAGGCAAAGCATGGGTGCGGGGGCTGAGGATGGTATTTGCTGAGGCCCACTCCGAGCCCACAGGGTCCAGGAGCTGTCACCTCTCATCCAGTTCCAGCCCCAGATTCCACGCCATCAGCAGTAGCTTAGAGCGTACCTTGAGCTTGAGTGTTCAGGAGCCTGGGATTGTCGCAGGAGCTGGCTTCTGGGCTCACCTGGGTTGACAGTGAAATGTCCTTCCTCTTGTCCTGGTGCCCGTGGCTGAGACCTGCGGAATGGGCCCATCTCCCCTTTATCCTGGCATCAGGTGGGGAGGGTTGACGTGACTGGGCTGTTGTGTATGTAAATTGCTTCCTCGTGGGCCTCCCACCCCAAAACCAGCCTGGGGAGTTTCCAGGAGACCCACCAGGCTGGGGACTCAGCCGGGGTGGGCCTGGGAATGTCCTGCCTGAGCCAGATCTGGGATTCCCCTGGAGGCCACCCCTGGCGCCTCCTGGGATATCAAGTGTCCTCTTTCTAGGGACCTCGCACCTCCCAGCACAGAGCTGGGCATATAGTGGAGGCTGAGGAGGTAGGGTGCTAAGGGATAGAGGGAATGGGGGATACTTCCTAGGTGAGTCAGAGACAATGTCTTCCTCCAAGCCCAAGTTTCCAAGGATTTGGGGATAGGAGCTCTGCCTGGTAGAACCACGCGAAGGTTGTGGGCTGAGGCAGGTACTAGAGTGAGGTATTCTCCTTGCTGCAAAATTTAAGACAGTGCTGAAAATCGAAATCACCAAGATAAATTATTTTTTTTTTGAGACGGAGTCTCACTCTGTTGCCCAGATTGGAGTGCAGTGGCACAATCTCGGCTCATTGTAACCTCAACCTTCCAGATTCAAGCAATTCGCCTGCCTCAGCCTCCCAAGTAGCTGGGATTACAGGCATGTGCCACCATGCCTAGCTAATTTTTGTATTTTTAGTAGAGATGGGGTTTTGCCATGTTGGCCAGGTTGGACTTGAACTCCTGACCTCAGGTGATCCATCCACCTCAGCCTCCCAAAGTGCTGGGATTACAGGCTTGAGCCACCTCACCAGATCAATAAATAATTTTAAGACTTTTTAAAAGAGTAGTTTTATTATTATTTTTTTTTAAAGATAGGGTCTTGCTATGCTGGCCAGGTTGGTCTTAAACTCTTGGCCTCAAGCAATCTTCCTGTCTCGGCCTCCCAAAGCGCTAGGATTACAGGCATGAACCACTGTGCTCGGCTTTATTTATTCATTTATTTTTATTGTTTTTGAGGCAGGGTCTCCCTCTGTCACCCAGGCTGGAGTGCAGTGGCGCAGTCTAGGCTCACTGCAGGCTCTGCCTCCCACGTTCAAAAGATTCTCCTGCCTCAGCCTCCCAAGGAGCTGGGATTACAGGTGAAGGCCACCACTCCCAGCTAATGTTTGTATTTTTAGTAGAGACAGGGTTTCAGCATGTTGGCCAGGCTGGTCTCAAACTCCTGAACTCAGGTGATCCACCCATCTTGGCCTCCCAAAGTGCTGGGATTACAGGCTATTTTTTTGTTTGTTTTTTGAGATGAGTCTCACTCCGTTACCCAGGCTGGAGAGTTGTGGCGAGATCTCAGCTCACTTCAGCCTCTGCCTCCCAGGTTCAAGTGATTCTCCTGCCTCAGCCTTCCAAGTAGCTGGGATTACAGGTGTGCGCCACTATGCCCAGCCCTCTTCTGTATGATTTTCTTAGTAACACTTTCTTTTCTTCAGCTTACTTTATTGTAAAAATACTGTATATAATATATATGTAACACACAAAATACCTATTAATTGACTATGCTATTGGTAAGTCTCCTGATAAACAGTTGGTTATCAATAGTTAAGTTCTTGAGGAATCAAAAATTATACTTGGGTCAGGCATGATGGCTCACACCTGCAATCCCAGCACTTTGGGAGGCTGAGGTGGGTGGATCATTTGATCTCAGGAGTTTGAGATCAGCCTGGCCAACCAGGTGAAACCCGTCTCTACTAAAAGTACAAAAATTAGCCGGGCATAGTGGCACACACCTGTAATCCCAGCCACTTAAGAGGCTGAGGCACGAGAATCATTTGAGCACAGGAGACGGAGGTTGCAGTGAGCTGAGATAGTGTCACTGCACTCCTGCCTGGGAGTCAGAGCAAGACTGTTTAAAAAAAAAATAAAAAGTTATACTTAGGTCAAACGCAGTGGCTCTCACCTGTAATCCCAGCACTTTGGGAGGCTGAGATGAGAGGAACACTTGAGCCCAGCAGTTCCAGACCAGCCTGGGCAGCAAGGTGAGATCCTGTCTTTATTCAAATACATATATATTTTAAAGTTATTCCTGGATTTTCGACTGCACCTAGCGTCAGTGTCCCTCACCCCTACGTTGTTTAAGGGCCAGTCATATTTTCAGTTTCCTAAAACTCCTCCTACACATTCATTCCTGTATTCCCCACTAGCCCCTGGCAGCCACTGATCTTTTTACTGTCTCCATAGTTTTGCCTTTCGGAGAATATCATACAATTGGAATCACATGGTAATGTAGCCTTTTTAGATCGACGTCTTTCACTCTGTAATACGCATTTAAGTTTCCTCCATGTCTTACGGCTTGATGGTGTGAAAGGAAAATATCTTGAGCCCCCAAAATCACTAAGGAAAACTCCAGCTGGAAACTGGCTTAGGGCAATCCTGCC